CCCGCCCGCCTTCCCTGCCCAAAGTCTGTTTGTAGTTGTCTCCTCGACTGCAGACACACTCGTCCATCTTCTCACGACAAGGAAATTCCTGCCAGTTTTCCCAGAGCCTGCAAGGAGAGGACAAACGCACTTCACCCGTCCCAGGGGAGGAGGATTCCCTTTGTTTAACCTCCTCCTCCCACAGTCGGCCTTCAGCTCTGAAATGGGGGAGGGGAACAGGGGATGGAAAGACCGTGGGCGGGGAAGGGCGGTTATAACAGAACCCCAGGTCCCACTCTGCCTTGCTGGTCCCTCCTCTTCCTCCTCCCTCTTCTCTTTCCAAGCTTCTCCCCCACCTCTCTCTCCCTCCTTCCGATCTTCTAGAGCCTCTTCCCACCCAAGTCCTCTCTCGGGCTCGCGCGCCCAGAGCCTGGGCAGGCGCTGTTTATTTCCCGGCCTTCGTGGTTTGGCGGGAAAGGGCTTCGTCCTGGCTTGTTCTTGAGTGTCTGGGACAAATCCTTTTGTTTGTGTCTAAACGTGGAATGAGAAGCCTTCCAAGTTGATAATGGGGCTCAGAGAGAAGAGGAAAATATCAGAGAAGCAACATGCGTGTGTCTTTTGCAGCCAGTATGCGATGGCAGTCCAGGGTTTGGAACCCCTTCCAGGTGGATCATGATTTCGCACACACACCCAACTGCTCATTTGTCTTTCATTACCCATGTTCCACTCTCCTGGGTTCTTTTCTAAGTTAGTTCCTTTCAGCCCTCTCCTTCCTAGACCCTCTTCTCAGAACGCTACCTTTCAGTGAGAGGGTGAGAAAAAAAGATAGATCGTAAGATTCCCCTCGAGGACCGAAGCACCCCCGTGACATATCCGGAAACAGGCCAGCCCTGGGCCGACACGTCCATGCTTTCTTGATTTCGGCCACTGTAGAGCCCAACCCTGACAGGCTGGACTTTCCCGTCACACCCACCGATGTCAAACCACGCCCTTCCAGATCCAGAAGGATACCCTCCGCCCTGACCCGCTTCTTGGAACATTGACTGAAGGGTATATACACAGGGGTAGAGGAAGTCTCCGTGCACTTTAGACACGTGCTCCTCCCCCTCGCCCCGTTGCCACATGCAGAATGTACACTGATGACAAACAGACACACTTACCAGGGCACATGCCAGCGGCGTCCATCCTCCTTCCCAGCCAGGCATCAGCAAGCGAGACCGCCTTGAGGCAGGTGCCATCGCCGCAGGGAGGGTGGCTCCGAGCTCCAGATGTCTCCCTGGGAGTCGGGGCATTCAGGTACCCCAAAGCCAGTTTCGAGCCTCCCGGGCGGGGTGGGCGACCTTGACGAGTATGGGCGTCCCCCTCCGCCTCCCGCTGTGCTTCCGCGCCGCTTCCTGCTCTGCACCACCTCCGCCGCCGCAACTGCCCGAGCGCCCCTCTCCGAGAAGCCCTCTGCCCGCTGCATGCAGCCCATAGGCTCCGCTACATCTGGGATGCATTGCCCCTTAATTGTCAATCCCATTATTGTGATCAAGTGAACGTTGCTAATCTCTACATTTATTGTTTAGGTAAATAGAGGCTGCATTTAATCAATATGCAGGGCCCCAGCTCTCGCAGCGCCAAGTAACTTAAGTCAACGGTGAAGATTTCAGTGTGTGCGTAATTACAGTGCTCGCGGAATCATCGCTCCAGCTCAATTCCACGTCTCTTCGCTGACCCGGGGGAGGGGGAGGAGGGAATGGGAGGAATCTCCACCCTCCAAGGGGTCGAGGGCCGGCTCCCTAAGGGCAAGTAAAAGACTTCGTGGCGGTGACACCGCGCGCCTGGCCCGCGCCCTCGGCGGTGCGCACTGTGAGCGCGGGGGCCTGAGGCGGGACTGGGTACTGCCCCCGACTTCTGAGCGGCAGAATCTGGCGCTTGGCGCCCCGGCTCTACCGCTCCTGGACCCCTCCCCTTCCAAATTTGCCTCAGGGAGGAGGGTGGTTCCCCATTCGGCGGGTCCCCGGCAGGCGGGAAAGCGGGGGCGGGGCCCTGGAAGTGGGTTGCCCCAAGTTCGCGACGCCCCTGCCCCAGCACGCAGGCTCCCTCTTCTCTTCCGCAGCTGCCTGGAGCAGCAGAGTTCCTTGCCCGCGGGGAACTCCCAAGAATTCCACGATTGGGCGCGCAGAGCGCGGGTTATTTGCCCTTCTTCCTAAATAGCTATTGTTTCCTAATTTAAGAGGACCTTCGCCGGGCTAGAACGTCAGGGATGCGCAGCAGGGGGTGGGCGGGTCTGGGGAGATGGGCGGTTCGCGCCGGCGAGGGGTGGTATCAGCTCCTTACAGTAGCTTGGCTCCCGGAGTGGTGTCAGAGTGAGGGCCTCTGGGTCTCGGCGGAGAAAGGGTTAGCTGAGAATCTTCCGGAGGGCGGCGGAAAGAACCCGACCGCCACGACACCTTGGAGTGGGGCCCGAGAAGCTGATCCTCAAGTTTGAGGCGCCAACACTTCTCTTTCGGCAACTCTGTTGTCGCTAGTTTCTCTTTCTTCTGGTTCCTCTTTCTCTGCTCCATTCCCGGACAAGTCGGACATAAACAACCAGTAACTTCAGTTGTAACCAGATACCCGCCTTGCATGGAATTGTCCGGCTTTATGTAAGCAGGATTCTGAGGTCAACTCATCATTTGACAGTTTAGGGTGCCATTGCAACCTCCCAACGAAATTACAGCTGAAGTTTGAATATAAGGGCCCATGGTATTTGATGGCAGCTGGCTGTTTTTAATTTTCGGAATGGAACAGTTTTCGTATAAGGTATCCCTCCCTGCTTTCTTCTTCCCTTAAGTTGAATAGCATTTGGAACAAGAGGGAAATGAAACACAAATGTCAGTGCAATCCCGAAAACCTTTTTCTTTCTATTTCTACATTCAGAGCCTCCCCTCTGACCGGCCTAAGCTATTCCTAAGCCTGTAACTCTCCCCATCAGTTGGGTAGACCTCTTACCACTGGGCTGCAAACCAGTGCTGCCTCTGTCTCTACAGTACAGATAAACGTGATGTCAGACATTTTTTTTTTTTTTTTTTTTTGAGACAGACTCTCACCCTGTCGCCCAAGCTGGAGTGCAGCCACGCGATCTCGGCTGACTGCAACCTCCACCTCCCGGGTTCAAGTGATTCTCCTGTCTCAGCCTCCCGAGAAGCTGGGATTACAGGCGCCCGCCACCACGCCCAGCTAATTTTTTGTATTTTTAGTAGAGTCGGAGTTTCACCATCTTGGCCAGGCTGGTCTCGAACTCCTGACCTCGTGATCCACCCATCTCAGCCTCCCAAAGTGCTGGGATTATAGGCATGAGCCACTGCACCTGGTCCAGACTCTTTTGATTAGGAATGTCAACTTAACCTTTTCTGGATGGCAGTTGTTTTTAAGCCAGGATAAGGAAAAGAAAGGCAAGAGAGCTGATAGCCAGGGCTCCTGGGTAAGCACAAGCCCTTTGGAGGTCTCAGGAGCTGGGTGTGAATTAAGGCCCACCACTTTAAGGCCCTGTGACCTTGGGCAGGCCTTGAAACTTATCTTTCCTCCTCTCTAAAACGAAGCTAATAATTTCGACTTTGAAGGATTGTTGTGAAGGTTAAATAAAACTATATAGGAAAATTCCTAACAATGTGCTCAATACTTATTAATAGTTGAGCTAAAAAAGTTCCTGCCCTCCATTTTCCACTGAAATAGCATTCCCAGCTAAAACTTACTGTGAAACTAAAGGCAAAGCCAACAGCCGCTATAAAACAGAATTTTAGTGTGTGTGTGGGAAGCACAGGGCCTAGTACAGAAGCAAGGTTGGATGAGGATGAATGCAGTGACAGCCTGCAGCTGCCTGATTTGGAAGGAGTAAGGTTAGCTGCTCCAGTCAGCCACACATTTCATGGTCTGGCTTTCATAGTTCTGCAGGAGGGGAAGAGGAGGCCTTGTCTCTAAAAATAATAGCTAATATTTATTGAGCAATTATTATATACCAGGCATTCTGCCAAGTGCTTTACACACAGCATCTCATTTAATCCCCACAATAACCTTACCAGGTGAGTCTTACTGATATCTTTTTTAAAACTTTTATTGTAGAAAAGACCTGCTGAGCACAGTGGCTCAAGCCTATAATCCCAGCACTTTGGGAGGCCAAGGCAGGGCAGATCCCTTGAGCCCAGGAGTTTGAGACCAGCCTAGGCAACATGGTAAAACCCTGTCTCTATAAAAAATACAAAAATTAGCTGAGCATGGTTGTGTGTGCCTGTGGTCCTAGCTACTGGGGAGGCTGACATGGGAGGATAGATTGAGCCTGGGAGGTCGAAGCTGAAGTGAGCCATGATTGCACTCCAGACTGGGTGACAGAGCAGGATCCTGTCTGAAATTTGAAAAAAAAAAAAAAAATCAAATATTTATTTAGAAATAGAATATTTTAATGAGCCCTTCTATATCCATCACCCAGTATCAACAGTTGTCAGCTCATGGCCAAACTTGTTTCATCTCTATCCCATCCATTTCCCTCTTCCTTATTTTGAGGCAAATTTCAGATATTATATTATTTTATTTGTAAATATTATGGTATGCATCCAAATGTCAAAGAAAAAACACCAAAAATTCTCCAATACCATGTTATTCTATAATTATATCTAAACACATTAAAGTCTCCCCAGTTGTGTCATAAATGATTTTTTTAGTTGTTTTTTTTTTTCAAATCAGATCTAAACATGCACACATTGCATTTAGTTAATATACCTCCCAAGTGTCTTTTAATCTATACGTTATTCTCTCTTCCT